GGAGGGATGGATGGTGAGGTGGATAAATAGATAGGTGGATGGGTAGGTGGATGAATGGATAGGTGGATGGGTCGGTGGGTGGGTAGATGGACAGACCTCCCAGTCAAACTGAGCAGCCCACAGAGTCTCCTCCACAATTTTCTTATGCTGTCCCTTCAGCCCGGATTTCCTTTCTTTTCCTAGATTCACATTCCCAAAGGCTGCCCATCCCACAGGTGGATTTCAAAGACTGCCTTCGCAATAAAGGCTTCTAGGACCCCCTCCCCAGCTAGAATTGATCTCCCCCTGTCATGCACCCCATCTGTAGGAAAAGACCCAGATAAAAAGACTGCTTCCTTCTCTCCGGAGCCTCAGGGAAGGTTATCCTGGGAGACAGGAGCCATGTGGCCTTCTGGGAATACACAGATCATGGTGGCAGGTCATGCACACATCAACACACCCCGCAGCCTCAGCATCTGGCTCCACACTAGCCCCATCACATCTGCATCCACACAGAGAAAACACTTGTGTGCATTCACCCCAACCCACGTGCACCAGGAACATGAGGCTCCCAGGGGCCCAGCAGCTCTCAGCCTGCTACCTCTGGCCCTGTTAGAAACCACAGGCAGATGGAGGCTGTGTGCCTGGGTCTCCCATCCGGGTAGGTGAGCTTCCTTCCAGGCAGGCCAATGTATTTGCGTATTATTTGCATGTGTTGACATACCCCTTCCCAACTCTCTCCAGACCGCTTCCAAGCTGACCTGTTATTGCTGCTTTTCCAAAGCTTGCGCTGCTCACCCACCCACTGCCAGCGAGTACTATGCAGGGAGACAGGCCCGGCTGGCGGAGCACTCCAGGGATTCATCCCAATCTCCCTGGGCCTCAGATTCTCCCTTGGACAGCGAGTTATAACACATCTCTATTGGGCAGAGCCAAGGAGAGCTTCTTCACACATAAAACGTTCATTCGAGTACTTGTGGGCACATAGTGGGCTATTCATTCCCATCAGAGGGTCAGGAGTCAACTCTGGATAAGGTTTTTCCCAACTCTTTTCCCAGTGGCATTTCTGGGCTGCACAGTGTGGGTCTCCTATGCTACAGTTGCTAGGTGTAACAAATATATTAAGAATATAGGATGCTTGTTAAATTTGAATTTCAAAGGAACTGTAAATATATCTTATACAATCCTTTTATGGTGAGAAAGTATTCAGTTTTCTTGAAATTCAAATTTCTTTTTTTTTTTTGGTACCAGGGATTGAACTCAGGTCCTTGTGCTTGCGAAGCAGGAGGCGAAACCACTGAGCTAAATCCCCAGCCCCTTGAAATTCAAATTTCAATTGGAAGTCCGGTGTTTTATCTGACATCCTTACCTGTGACCTGAGGCCCACTGGCTGCTGTTATTACTAATATCCTGTTTTTTCACAGCCTTTACCTGAGCTCAGAGAAACAGTCTCTATTTCCTAATGCGCAGCTTCCCAGTCTAGAATGAGCAGAGTGGGCCGGGGGTACAAATGGGTAAACTGAGAAATGCTGAAGGAAGAAAGAGAGAAAGAGAGAGGGAGAGAGAGCATATTTCCTAATTTAGTGAAAATCTAAAATCTGTCCCTCTTTAGTCTGTGTGAGAAGCCCGGTGGTTATCACTGCAAACATGAGATTGCATTTCCTGTGGCAGAGCCTGTGTGTGTTTGCATCAACAGAGCCTGTTTCTAGGGCTTCTCTCAGGATGTGAGGCCCGTGACAGGTCACAGAGGAAGAGGTGAGCTGCAGCAGGGGGCCTGTGGGCTGGGCCACTCTGGCCCCCGAGGTTGGCATGAGGGTTATGGGAGGGGCTTGGCCCCGTGGGGAAAGAAGCCCCTCCACCAGCGCTTTGCCCAGCACCTTCCCTGCCACACACGGATCAAACTGAAACTTTCCCAGGGTGCAGTGCAACAACAGGGCATTGTTGGCCTCCTTACCTATGCTGGAGGACCTTGCAGGGTGGGCCGAGCTTGGGCATGCAGGTTCACGCCAAGCTCTACTGTTCCCTTAGAGCCAATATCAGGCCTGAGGTCTATGTAGGGCAACTCTAAGGAAGCACACAGCACAGTGGTGCTTCCGGCCCACGCAGAAGGGCTCAGGCTATGGACACTCTCAGTTGAATGCCTGTCTCATTCAGGAATGACCATTTTCCATGAAGATTTCTTTTGATTTTTTTTTTTTTTTTTTTTTTTGGTACCAGGGATCGAACTCAGGTCCTTGCGCTTCTAAGGCAAGTGGCGGAACCACTGAGCTAAATCCCCAGCCCCTGAAGGTTTCTTTTGAGAGGGAGATCTTGTCTTACAGTAAGATCAGTGGACATACTGTGGGTGCAATGCAACATTTTGTATTTTTTAAGATAAAATACAAAGAATACAACCAAATATATAGGCTCTGTTTTTGTTCTGTAAGATGGTGATGATAAGGCCCCATGCCCACTGGGAAGAGGCAAAGATAACACAAGGACAGCCCCTCCCTCAGTCAGCAGCAGGCCCCAGGAAGACCTTCCTTCGTGAGAACATGAATTTCCTGAGACCCCTCATCTGCTTCTGCATATCAGACCACTACTGCACAGAGGAATCACAAAGCAGCAGAGGGGGCCTCTGGGGCCCCACAGGAAGCTAGTGAGTTCTTGGTTGGTTTTCTAATAGCATCCGCTAGTCCCATCTCCAACACAGGACAGGGCTGGAAAGCCATTTGCCCATCTGGTCTGCCAGGCTAGGAACCCGGTTTGCACATCCATGGCCACCAACATGGCCAGCCCTGAAAGAGCCAGAGACCCTCGTTCCCAATGGGGAACCATTCCCTGGCTCTCCCTCTCGTGGACACAGTTGTTCCTAGCCCAGAGTGCTCAACTGTGCCCTTCTCCCAGGCTCCAGATCCTCTGGGGAAGGAGGTGGTGCCCTGAAATCGAGGCACCCGGGACTCACCACAGGTCTATGAGACTGAGACGCGTGAGCTCAGGATCCCTGAGCCAGCAGTGTGTGTGCTGGAACTGAACCTCGCGATCTGAGACCCTGGGAACCACCCTGCTGGTTCCACTCTCTGTTATGTCCCTTATTCCTAAGAACTCCAGTGATTCGAGGATGGTAGTCTCTCTCAAGAACCTGAAAGTTAACTCTGCCAATGATCACCAGAGCACCTCTGTACGTTCTGAATTTCTCTACTTCCAACCACAGGTCACTAAACATAATGGGAACTCTCCCGGCCTGCTCTGAAGAGCTCAGCCAGATACCTCTCTTGGATAGGCCAACCAACAATGACTTACAGATGAAGAAACTGCACACCACCCTTGACAGGAGGTGCCAGACAATGAGTCCTCCAGGGCTCAGACCAGCTCTAGGATAATGGGAGAATATTCTGAATAACTTAGGAGCGTATAAGGGAGGTCTCCTCATTAGCGGCCACGATGTAGTCCCATTGTCTCACTGACCCAAGAATAGCACGAATGTACAAACGCATCTGTCCCAATGAGTTGACTACCACTTGGCTTTTCACTGCTCCTTCTGCATCCTACTTAGCTGGACACTAACCTCCTTCCCCCTGACCGGAAGCCAGGAACCACGCTTATGGTAGCTCCTGCTCTGACATTGCTCTTCAAAGTGATGACCTTGCCTCTGAAACACGGGCAGGCCTTTCTGGGATAAGTAGCCTCACACACAATTTCACCCGACATCCAGCCCGCCCCAGTCATGTCATTAGTTCATGTCAAACTATTACAGCATCTAAACTATATTAGAAGATGTTCCCAAGTTATGAAATCAACTTTGTCAAAATCAGCCCATTTGGATCTCATTTTTCTTCCTAATTTTTTTATTTCAAGCCGTGGCCAATGACATATATATAATTTAATCTTGTACAACCTCTCCTTGTTGAAAAGCAAGGCATAACAATTGCAATTCTCCCTTGGCCAATGGCCAGACATCCAAGGACTAGAGCCAGGAGATTAACAGCTGGAGCCTAGAGGACAAGGACAGAGGGCAGAACATTCTGGGTGCATGCTTGTTTCAAAGACCAGACCTTGGAGAGCTGGGAGTGCCCATGCCGAGCATCGACACCTCCAGTCCGAATGGCATGCTCAGGCCCTTCAGAAGTGTGCATGAAACATGCCTGTGACATTAATTAATGCCAGGCAAAATGTAACAGCAGATCTTGGAGACTAAAAATAGATCTTTGCCAACTGATTCATCCTGACTGCACAGAACTGGGAGCCTTTTTCTCTGCTTCTCTTTTACCATGTACATTACATTATGGCCTTTTTTCCCTTTCTCTCCATCTTTGTTGTTCTTCCTTTTCTCTCTCTCCTTGCTGAGAGGTTTCAACCTTCCGGAAGTGATGTCCCCACTCAGCTACCCTCCGACCCATAAACATGCTTAATAAGCAAAGAAATCATTTCTTTTCCTGCCTCCCATGGTTGTAACCCATGTAATTTGTACTTAATATTTTCCATGCGGATGTCTCTGCCTGTGGCATCACACACAGAACTCTATAGCTTCATTTCCGATTACAGTCCCTTCTATTTTAAACTTTGTTGATTTCTACAAGGAAGGAAGCCTATTTCATACAGATTAGCTGGACAGCTGGGTCTGATTGCTTCTGATTACCGGGCTTGGGGCCACTGGGGAAACAGGTTTCCCAAAGCCCCTTGGACGGAGAACCATTCCATATTGCCCCCAAAGTGTGGGTCAAGGCTGACTCCAGGGAGGAAGGGCTAGCAATCAACAGGTCAAGCCAAAGGCAGGGTCACCCCTTAATCCACGCCTCAGGTTTGGGAGGCTGGGCTGGAAGCCGAAGTGGGGCAGCAGAAGCCCCTGGGATCAAAGGCTCTGTCGGGGCCCTGATGGGGGCTTGTGTCAGAGACAAGGCGTGTGTTGGCAGGGAGCAGCCATCATCTGCCTCACAGAAACACTCAGAGGCAACAGACAGGCTCAGTGATTAGGGTCCCTTCACCTGGCCTTGCATCCCAGACCTCCAGGTGCACAAAGAAATCACAAAGTCCTCTCTCACCTTTGAGTGGTCAGTCCACAGGCAGCGGGGGGCCGCTGCTCTCTCCCGAAAGCCGGAGGCTCCGATGAGGCAGGAGCATTCTCCCTGCTCGTCCCATGTCTGCCTTCTTTTTATGTCTCCTCTAGAGAAAACCGAGTGCTGGAGAGTTAAAAAAAGAAGTGTGTGTGTGGAGGGCGGTGGGTGTCAGGGTGCCGGGGCGGAGGGGCAGGGCCCGGGTGGGGAGCAGCCTGCCCAGTGTGGGCTCGGGGTAATGGCCGACGCTGGTGAGATGGCTTTGCCTGCGAGAGCTCAGTGGCACAGCAGCTCTGCGTGTGGGCGGCAGCAGCTCCGCGGCTGGGTTTCAAACCATTACACTGAACATTTGCAAACAGATAAAGAAACAAAACCATCGGGTACAAATGGAAACTTCTGTTTTCCTTCCTCTCTCTTCACTCTGTCCCCTTGATCTCTCGGCTGGAGTTTCCAGGGAAGATGAGGGTGCAGATGGACACTTTCCCCTCAGGGACCCCCACCCAGCTTTCTCGGCCACACCATCCCGGGCTGCTGTCGTGCAGTGCACGGGCAGATCAGGCCTGCGAGCCCAGCCCCCGGGCTCTGGAGACAGCCAATCACGTCAGAAACATTTTCCCTCTCCCAGGGTCTTGCCCAGAATCCAGCCGCTGAGAAACATCCAACCTGAAGAGGGTTTGATGGTCTCTCACGCTTCCTACTTCAAAGCTGCTTTAGAACTGGCCAACAGGAAGTAGGGTGAGAGGCACTTTCATCTCTGGCTGACACTTCCCACAGAACATTCTTTGAACAATAGAATGAAACACTCCATGAAGAGAAAAGGGGTCCTGTAGTCAAAGTACCTTGGGAAATGTATCCTTACTGCTCTGGGATAATCACAGAACACTTACTGGGTAAAGGCTCTGAGAAGTCCTGCAATAAAGAATCCTTGTTATACTTTCTTTAATCCAATGCTTTCCAAATGTGTAAAACCTTAGATGAAAGGATCCCCTCTTAAACAACAATACACATGCACAATACACTCACCCTGCCTTCCACCCTCACCCTGATGTTAACATTGCCCAAATGAAGTCTTGCAGCAAGAGAGTGCAGGAAAAGGTCAGTATTAGGAGTGAGGCAGTCCAGGTTCACCACCTCAGGAGGTTTTCAGACTGGTGTCTGCACTGGTGCCACAGATGGTGTCAGTGAGTGCAGACTGTGGTTCCGGTTCATGAATGGAACCTGAGCAGGACCAAGCTGGCGACAACAGGACGTTTCTGAGCCATGGCAGTTGTGACAGCTTCTCTCTCTCTGAGTGCTCATCCTCTTCACTTACCCGGCCCGGGAATGGGCTCCCAGGGCCACTGTAGGACAGAATCATGGGGCCTCCTCCCCAACAGACTTCTGGGGGATGCTCTGAAGATGCGGCAGAGCACGATGAACAGAGGCCCCAAGACATAAGCACTGAGCAGAAGTACTGTCGCTGGGGATGGCAACAGGAAGGTGGTAGGAAGTGAACACAGCAGACGAGAGGAAAGACAGGCCTTGCCACTGGCACAAGCAAACTGAGAGGCTTTCAGGCCTGGCCCACGGCACACCAGCTGTGACTCTACTGCCAAGGCCTTCTGTGCACTTGAGCCCTGGCCCCTCACCTGAGAAATGGTTTAAGTCAGTGACAGCAAACCTTTCAGAGCTTTCAATAATACCAACAGCCTACTGGGCAGGTGTGCTGAAGGCTCGCCATTACTGGTTTAAACCAGCTGTTCTCAATTAACGGGGATTCCGCTGCCCAGGAGGCCATGGACAATGCCTGGAGACGATGCCGCTGAGAAGGCCTTCAGTGCATAGCACAGCCCTGCCCAGAAGAAGGTACTGAGGCTGAGGGACCCTGAGCTAAGTGGCTCCTCGGTGTCCCTTAGTGGGGCTCAAATGAGTTCATGTGGATCCCAGGAGGCACGTCCGGTCTGACTGTCAGAAAGAGACTTCCGGGTCATTGAAATGGCATTTGCTTCTTGCTGGGTGACAAGATGGAAACAGACGGAAAGTAAAGTTAAAAATTCCCTAAAAAAAAAGAAAAAATTCCCTGCGTCAGACCAAAGAAAGAGAGAAAGAGAGCTGGCCTACCTTATAAGCACTCCAAATTACAGGATTTTATTTTTTAAAAAATAAGGAAAGGAAAGAAATGCCTCCTCTTGCTTAAGTACATCAGACAACTTGAACTCTGTGTGAATGGAGTGAAATGGCTATAGAAAAGCTCTAAAAAGCTCCCGCACACTTTGGAAGATAATCATTCATAATTAGCATTTTATAGAAGCCATTAAAGAGCCTTTAAACAAAGCTGAAAATTATTTGTTGACCTTCACTCTGAAGGTGGCTAATGGTCATGCTGACAACACTATGCGTCCAACCTGGTTGGGGACTTCTTTGAAGAAAATCTTCACCCAGAGTTGCAATAAGGCCCTCAGCACACAGCAAATTATTAGAGGCCAACAAAAGAGTGAGTTTCCAGCTGCTCAGCTTTAGGTGGACGATCTGCTCAGGCTTCATGCTCGTCTTCCACCCTTGTGGCACCCTTGAGGCAGCTCGGGCCCACGGCTCGGCAAGGGTTCCCTCCTGGGTGGTGAGAAGTCCAGGTGAGTGCGAGGCTGCCAAGTCAGAAAGGGCCAGGCCAGCCGAAGAGGGCCAAGGGCGAGGCCCAGCTCCGCAAGGAAGAAAGAGAGGATGTGTGTGAGGAGACACGTGCGTGGGCCTTCCTCCTCTCCAAGCAGCTTTCAAGGAAGGGTCAGCCAGCCAAGTTCCTGATGTGGGGGGGCCCATGCCGGCCAGGTACATCAGCTTCCTCCAGGCATGGACACAAACACGGAGCCCAGCCCGGCAGCCTGGACTCTCCTGTGCATTCCTCGTGGTCCTGCTCACTCACTCCCCAGGACAGGCTGAGGTCTTGTGCTTGGGAACCTCCTGGGCCGGAACTTTGCTAGGCCCTTGGAGCAAAATGGTAAAGAACAGAACAAAGGCGTGGCCCCTAAGTTGATAGTTGGGGTAAAAGAGAAAAAAATAAAAAATCAAAGAATAATGCAAAACATCTGTTTCAAGTCATTCACTGGCTGGCAATTTGAACTTCTACCATGTAATAGAAGCAGTCTGAGGAAAGAAAGCATGGGTAGAAAAATGACTATCCAAAACCACAATGAAAGCAGAGCAGTGCTATTAAATTCCAGCCTGCAGAGTACTGCTCAAGAAAACCTCTAAAACTGAGGCCATCTCTCTTGGTCAAAAGGGGTTAGGAAGAGCGAGATGTTAACAACCCATGACTTGGCTCGTGTCATTAAAGGGGGCCGCTTTCCTGCTCTGTGAGGTGCTGCTATCGATGCCAGGTTCTGTACACCCGAGAGTCGTCTGTGCTGCACAGTGGCTATGGATCCTAAACTGTGGGAACACTGTGTGGAGTGCGGGCGTTGCAGAGGAGGGAGAGGACACGGGCAGTTCAACCACCGACTTCAGGTCCGAGAGAAGAGTGCTTCAGAACCTGGGACAGCTCCCGAGCCCGCTTGTCTAGTTCCTCACTTTCTCAGGCTGCTGCCAGGACCGAGGACACGTGCAGTGCCCTGCTTCCACATCCCCACCAAGAGAAACCTGCCCGTTTGTCTGTCAGAGTCCACTGCTCGCTGCGCACCTCGCTCGCTCTTGGCCCTGCTTCCTCACGGCTTCCACCCTGTTCCCACTGCCAGCTACCGACTTCTGTCCACGCAGCACTCAGCTCTGCTGAGTGAAGGTCTGACCACTTTCCCTAGTCCACGTGGAGCCCACAGATGGGGAGAACTCAACCTCTGGGCCAACCCATCAGCTGTCATCTCTCCTGGAGACGCTGCTGTGGGGCCCTCGCCCACCAGCGAGTCAGCATGGAGCCAGGGGCGGAACCAAGTGAGCTTCCCCAGAGGGCACAGCCAGCTTTCCTTGGACTTCCCAATCTGAGAGCCGGAGGTGAGATGCAGGCCAATCCACTGACTCAGGAGCTCATTAAGCATGGTTCACAGGCAAGTTTTTTAAGTTATATTTTTGTTATTTTTTTCTCTTAGTATGACTTTGATAGTACAGTTGGACATAGCAAACTCATGTTTCCTTTTTCAATAAAAATGTATCATCAAAGAACAGTACTAATTTTATTATAAAATGTACATAGAAAGCCAAAGTTACAATAATAAAGTTATTTCAAAAAAGAAAAATAAAGTTGAAGGAATCACACTATCTAATATTAAGACTTACTATATAGCAACAGTAATTAAAATCATGCAGTATCGATGGAGCTAAACACCTGAATCAATAGAACAAAATAAAGAACCCAGAAATAGGCCCACACAGCTATGCTTGGCTGATTTTGACAAAGGTCCAAAAGCAATTTAATGGAGGGAAAATAATCTTTTCAACAAATGATGCTGGAGCGATTAGACTCAGTAGGGAGAGAGAGAAAGAGAGAAAGAGACTGAAAGAGATAGAGACAGAGAGATCCTAAACCTCTCACCTTACGCAAAAAATAACTCAAAGGGATTATACATTTAAACGCAAAAACTATAAAAAATTTTAGAGGAAAAATTACGGAAAGCTTTGGGATTTAGGGTTAAGGCAAAGAGTTCTTAGGTACAACATCAAAAATACAATCAATAAAATAAAAATCACTAAATTAGACTCCATGAAAATGTAAAACTTTTGCTCTGTAAAAGATCCTGTTAAGATGAAAGAAAAAATTTAAATTGGAAGAAAATATTTGCAAACTACAAATCTGAGGTAGAACTAATATCCAGACTACGCACAGAGCTGTGCAGACTCAACAGTAAAGATGCACACATAATTCAGCTAGAACATGGGCGGCAGATGTGAGCAGACATCCCCAAGGAGGACAGACTGGGCCATACACCTGTGAAAAGATGACCAGCTGCACCAGCCAGCAGGAAAAGGCAAATTAAAACTACAGTCAACTATCAAAGTGCACCTACCAAGATGCCTAAAATTAAAAATGCCAACAACACCAAATGCTGGCAAAGTTGTAGACAAATGTAACGACGGACGGCTGTTGCATGAATGTTACATGGGACACTCACTCTGAAAAGCAGCCTGGCAGTTTCCTATAAAATTAAACATGTACTTACATCTCTTGAGCAAATAGCCCAGAGAGATTAAAATGCATTTTCGCATACAAAAGTGCATAGGAATGTTTATGTGTTTTATTTGCAATAGTCAAAATCTGGCAACAGCCCCACCATCCTCCAACAGGTAGCGATTAGATGAATATCCAGACTGTAGAATGCTACTCACCCACCAAAAAGCACCAGCTATGATGCACACCGCCACTGGGATGAGGCCCAAA